ACTTTATTTAGCGACTTGGTTTTTATTCCTAGCATTTGCGGGAGTGTTTGACATCCGAAGCGCTACACTATTATACTCTGAAGACTGTCAGAAAGTATCATTCTCTGATTATTATAGGCAGGACATTCTAAGAAAAAATGATAGTTATCCTCGTTCAGATATCCGCACTTAGTACAAAATGCCATTTCACTTAAATACTGATTATACAGGTGAGCATTTAGATTACTAGATTCATTTCTTAGTTGACAATGTATAATGTTTTCCTTGCGATTACCATAAATAAAGATCTTGATATTCTTTACTCTATCTACAGTAGGTTTCTTTAGGATATTCTTAAAATTTTAATAAGATTCAATACATTTAGTTTCTAATGGTAAATTGTTCCAAATTTTGAATAGTAGAAGGCAAAAAACTGTTGAAATATGAGACTGTCCTTGCTTGAGGTATGACAAAATTAAAATTACCTATATTTCTAAGATTGTAACCATGATTTGGTGGCATAAAAGGTAGGGCCATTTCTTGCAAATAGAGAGGGGCTATGCCATACACAATTTTATAAAATATCAAGAGTTTTTGTCTTTCCCTTCTATTATTTAATGGTTCCCAACCTAATTCTAAATACAGAGCATTTCTGGATGAATTTTTCCTAAGTCCCGTTATTATTCGGGCTGCTTCTACTTGAATATTTTCTAAAAGATTTGAAAGTTCCTGCGAACAATTATCCCAGGCAGTGCTACCATATTCTAAAATGGGTCGAATAAAAGCAAAATAGACTTTTATTAATGCACTCCTAGCTAGCAAATGTTTCAACATTCTTAAAAGATTTAACCGAGAACAAGCTTTTTCATATAAATTAATTATATGAGATGACCATTTGGCATCATTTTGGAAAAGTAGTCCAAGATGACAGTGTGTTCTAGATTCATTAATAATACTACCATTAAACCCAAAATGGACTGATGGATGGTCATTTGAACTCCTTGAAAAATTTAAATTACAGGTTTTTGTTGGGTTAAAATCCACAGCCTTTGTTGAAGTCCATTTATTAATTTTATCTAAGTCAGACGTAAGTGATATTGCTGCTGCATTAACATCATTATCTACAACTAAAAACAGTGATGTATCATCTGCAAATAGCCTTGTATTATTAACTAGATTATCAGTTATGTTTAATGTACAGGAGGAATAAGAAAAGACCTAGAACAGAACCCTGAGGAACACCTGCAGATATAGGTTTAAAATTTGAATAGATCCCATTTAAGGCCACTCTTTGAAGAATGTTTACTTTGTTTATAGGAAAGACGCACAGGGCCAGAACGGAATTTTTTCCTATAGGCTCTAGTAAATTTAAAGAGTGGGTTACAACCCCGTTACCCCTTCAAAACTCGCCACTATAGATAGGCTTGTACGAATCTAGCATGGTACCTAACACAATGTGTTACAATACTTTTTTGCACAGTTCTATATTATTTCTATATTTTTTTGCACACGCAACTTCAAATGTGCTAAAAATTCCAATCATACTCATGAAAAAATTATGTAAATTAGACTAAGAAACTTTTTTCATAATGCAACATTTTGTTTTTTCTATCAAGGTAAATTTTTTTTACACGTAACTAGAAAGGGGAAAGACGATACTACCGTGTATAAACTTGTGTCAATTCTTGGTATACCAATCACCTCTTTTTTTTTAAGCAATCATATTTTTTTTATGTAAAAAGCCAGTTTTTGTTAACGATTTTGTTGACACTAACAAACGACAAAAGACATTGGTAAAGATTTTGAGCTAATCACTTTTTGTGCCTCTGATATCGAAGGTCAGAGGCATGTTGATTTACACAATTTATTTTTTCACAAATGTAATCTTCCCTATATTTTTATGAGAAGTTTGAGACTTTATTTATAGAAAATCAAAGATATTTATGAGATCGAATCTTTTTTATCAATCTTCCATTTTTGTCAGGCAAACTTATTTGGGTAAGGTTCCAAAACGTTAACCTTTCTTATAACTTCTAAAGAAAAAACGAAGACTATATTTTTATTTGTTGTACATTATTTTCCCAGGGTAAAAATCAAGGTGGATTACAATAATGGAAGCTATATATTTTTCATTTATATATTTCTCTTATTTACATCAGCTAAGAAAATGATCTTGATTTTTTAAATAATTACTACTGAACTTATTTTATAAAATGTGATAAAACAAATCAAAGAATGTACGTACATATGTTCCTGCTCTAATAGTGATAGAACATCATTATAGCCTTGTTAGGCTTGCCTTTAAGGAGGTTGGATCCTGACATTAAAAGTAATGAGAATTTTTTATCAAGTATATTTTTAGAATTTATACACATAGCTTAATTAAAAATCAAGACAAAAAACTGGGGTCAATGCGCTTCTTTTGGCGCTACAGAGCATATAGTTTGACCTTTTTGCACTGTAAAAACGTCTTACACATAAATCAACTTTTTAAGTTTTTCCTCCGATATTTTTTATTCAAATAAGTTATGGGAACAAACACAGTTTTATTTCATCTTGAATAGACCCATTAAAATTTTTGACAACGAACAATTTTTTTAAATTACTCCGCACATTCAATTATTTGACCTTTTTGCACTCAAAAAATTTCATTTTGCTAGCATTACAAATTTAACAAGCAAAAAACTCATTTAAAAGTAATGACATTTTACTGAATTTAAGAAGAATGGTTAAAAGTATCTTGTATATTCAGAAAAGAAAGTTAAAAGTGGGGGTCTGTGATGTTAATTTTTAGATATTACTAAAATAGTGCTAATTTTGAGCTTAAATTAGGGCTATTTTTTTTTCTTGATTTTCACAATATATTTGATTTACTTATCAAATATGATGATTGAATTCATGACAGTTTATTAAATATATAATTTAGAACCAGTATAAAACAGTTCACTGCACAAAATAACTCTGTGTGCAGACTGCATGTAAAAATAGGAATCCAAACTTAACATACTTTAAATACTTCAAAAGAGAAAAAATGATCATTTTCTTCTAAAAAACCTTCCGCCACAAAATATAGTTCCTCACTTAATGCTTTTGGTATGGAATTTAATCATGGAGTTTTAACTGAATATAGTTTATTTGGCATTGTAGAATCCAAATTTATTGTAAGAATTAAAGCATTACTCAGATTTTTTTAAATATAGGTTAAAATAAAAATCTGCTCAAAAGCTCAGGAGCGAACCTCGTTAATGGGGATAAAGCATCTTGTATTATTAATGTAAAGTATAGTGTAACCTTTTAATTTTGTCATTTAAACTTTAAAGCTTTTAGAAATGAACACTTCATATCATAAGACTGCGTGATTTAACCCCTATGTATTTGCCTAACAGGAATTTTCCTACCAAAACCATCCATTGTTTTTTTTTTCTGGTATCAAAAAAACGGCACATCGGCATTATTCTACAGGGTCATTTTTTTTACAATCCACATGGAGAAAAATGACCCCAAGGCCATAATTTCTACAAAAAAGTGGGTCATTTTTCTACGTAGAATATTTACCAGGGAGACACAACTGAACCCCGGTCAATATTCTACGGGGGTCACTTTTCGTCGTTACACCGGTATATTTTTTTTATCATTGAGTCATAAAATAAACTTTTTTTTTCTTCATCATAACGATAATTTACATCGATTAATCTCGTGCAATTTTCAACTTGCTCTTCGGACTTGCTGAATATTGTACTCCTATATAAGGTAGCTAAATCATGGTATTAGCCCCCCAAAACCACCATTATGGTTAATTTCAAAGATATCAACAATTTCGATTAAAGTCAACATTTCGCAGATTCTATGGTCGTTACAATGGCTTTAATTGTAATTACAACCCGTTGATGGGTCGAAGTTTGATGGGACTTTTTATGTAAAAATCGTCACGCCATTGTTTTCACACTGGTTTGTCTCCGATTTACTCCGTTTATCTGATCAAGACAAAGGCTCACGGTTGTGTTACATGTTGACATGGAATGCTTATTCCTGTGTGACGGTTGATCCCAAATTGTGGTTTTTCCGGGGATCCGTTTTTGCACTTCTTTAAATTTTGTATTGTTTTATTGGTTTTTAGCTTAATCATTGTTTGTTATCACATAAAACAGAATTTGTTTTTTTTAATCGAGAAAAAATATTTTAAGCAGTTTTAATTATTATTTGACAAAAAGGTAATGTGTCTCACCAAACGCAGAGTAAGAATTTAGAAAGGTTATGCTACCTTTGCTCTTATCGCACAAAAAGCCTTTACAATATGATATGAAATAATGAACAATACCCTCCTGTTGTCAATTTCAAGTCATTCCTATATAACATTTCCATTTTATTTCAGATTTATTTGGTATGATCTTGATCAATCACACTTATACCAGTAATTCAAAAGAAAAATAGAAACTATTTTAAGGAAGCTCTAAACACTGCACACTGAAGAGTACTATTTGTAGGGTAGTTTTATTGAGTTAGAGAGATCTGCCCTTAGAAGAAAAATAGAACAAATGGGAATCTACAGTTAATGACACAATTTCTTATGAATTAAAGTATTCTTAATGTTATGTTAGACCAAGATTAAGTAATTGAATACATTATTTCCATTAATTTTCCCGATGCAAGTAAACAACAGTGATTTCTGTTCACAAATAGTTCATTGTCTTTGAACATTTTTTCTGCAGAAATAAGGCAGGCACCCTCTGTTGAAAATGAACTAGATACACTGAATATGTTCACCTTTATATGATATATTTTTCTCAAAGCCCAAAAAGCATTTTCATTAGTGTTTAGAGCTTCCTTAATTGCTAAGAAATTGTGTTATATCACTTATAAATAATCTACAAAAAAGCCAAAACTAACAAGAAGGAAAAATTAAATTTAATCATAAAAGTGGACAAAATAAAATTCTGGAAAAAAAATGTGCAAAGGTAACTTTAAGCCACTACATGATTAAGGCGTTTAGCTGAAAAAAATCTTATTAAAATTTCAATTTTCACAGAATATTCCAGTTTTATCAGCAGTCTCCTGTTACCGTGTTCCAAATGTACCACAAGGTGGCGCCACATTGCTAGGCCAATTACACAACTGCAGAGTCTCGTCAAAAATCAAACCTATCAATATGACATAATAATATAAAATTCAATTTCTTATGCACAATGACTCAGCAATTCTGATTCTATTAAATTGCTATCCTAAATGTAGCTGATCACCAATGGATTTTAGGCCTAACATCTATTTAATTATACTGTTCATAATTAAACTAACGAATTACATTACAATAACAAGATGTGTTTGTGAAACACTGATTACCTCGTATGACAGCTCGTGACAAAGGTTAAAGTTTCTCAAATGCAAATTAAACTCAAGGTCAAGATATCAAAAATATTGATACCCAAAGAAAGGTCTTGTCACAAGGAAATATACAACTGTAAAAGAGTTATGGCCAAAGCTAAAGTATTTAAAAAAAATCCCTCAAAGGTCAAGGTAAAAGGGTCAAAATTGTTGGTACTCAAGGGATGGTCTTGTAAAAAGATATAAACACATGATATATGAGAGCCTTGGCACCAACTGGTCAAAATTTATGAAGGTCTTGTAAAAAGATATAAACATATGATATATGAGAGCCTTGGCATCAACTGTTCAAAATTTATGAAGGTCTTGTAAAAAGATATAAACACATGATATATGAGAGCCTTAGCACCAACTGTTCAAAATTTATGACTGGCAAGGTTAATGTTTTTCAAAATAAGATGAGACTCCAAGGTCAAATGGTCAAAATTGTCGGAGTGCAAGGGAAGGTCATGTCACAAAAAATTAAAATGTGAAATATGAAAGTCCTCGCTTCAACAGTTCAAAAAAGTATGGAGAATTTAAAGTTTTGTAAAATATTGCAAACGTGACTCAAATTTTAGAGTCAAGAGGTCAACTATGTTTGTACCCAAAAAAGGTCTTGTCAGAAAGTAGACACCTGTGAAATATGAAAGACATAGCTTCAACCAATCAAAAGTTATGGTCGAGGTTAAAGTTTTTCGCAGACAGACTGAGAGATGGACGGACAAAGCAAAAACTATATGTTCCCGAATCTTCGATTACGGGAACATAAAAAGTGGACAAGGAAAGAATCATTACGTACATTTGATATTTCTTATGAAACTTTGTTACAGATGGCATTTCAGTATAAAATACTTTCAGAAAGCTTAATAACGTACCAGTACTACAATAGTTGTGTCCAAAGAATGTGCCACCATGACACGTGTAATAGGACGTACAGTTGGTGAAGAGGTCTGCGTACCGTTTGTCTGGGAGAATGGAACAGTCCTGCCAGTGTCCGCACGGACGGCCAACATTATCAGGGCTAACAAACAACAGAGGAATTCATTATTCCACATTGGAAATTTGATGAAAAGGAAACTATCAATGAGTTTGATTATATTTTTTTACTCGTCTAGTAAATGCAGAAAAGTGGAATTATGGAAGGTATATTTCATTTGAGTTATTGAACTGAAACTACAATCTACTTGCAATACTGTCACTTAAAACATTTTTTAAATGTTTGTTTGAAAGATTTCTTCTTTCACAAGAATACATTGAAACTTCTTTACTATTGTACACCATCATTTAAAACTTTTCAGTATTAGGAACCATGCACCCACGAATCACAATTAATACAATTCTTGCTATCACTTATTTTGAAAGTACATTGTAAATAAGAGGGTGACAATGAGAAAAATAAGATATTTCTGAAATATGTTTTTTTTTAATGTTTTGTAGACTATTCAGTAACATAAACTTCATAACAATATGATAACGTAAGATAGACGAAACACAATATTTTACTCTATTTTGTATCCTTTTGATTTTAGTAGACTGAGAGTGATAAAGGAATTAGAGGAAAGAGACAACATGAAAAAAATATGTTATGGTTCCAGCTGACAAAGCTTGTAGCAATATATTGTTTGTTTGTAGGGTTTAACTGCATTTAGAAGACCTTCGTTTTAATTCCACAATCCACATCTGGTAACCCAACTTATACTTACAGTTCCCATTCAAGGAGTGCTTCCAAAGCATGTTTCAGTTTTGAATACTAGTATTATTAACATTACAGTTATCCTACACATACTTGATTCCAAATTCTCATAAAAATTCTTACACACAAAGATAATGCATGTTTTGCAGGGTCCAGTAAATGTTCAAGCAAACCCTTACCCTTACTCCTCCACAATATTTAAAGTGTTATGAGGGAGAAACTTATACTGTGCTATAATATATTCAAGAAGTGGTGTAAATCAAATGTCAATTTTAAATCTAAAGAACTTTTGGAAAAATTAAAATCGCAAAACTTTTCAAAAATCAATAGCATAAAAACATGAGATTTTGAACACTTTTATACAACCATTCCTCGCGATATATAAAAGTGCAGGCTTTTTAACACCATAGAAAACTGCTGCTACCTCAATAGAAATGGAACTCGGAAATATTCGTATCTTATGATTGGACATCTACGAAATTACTTTGTTAGAAATCCTTCTGATTCTACATACAGGAACTCTGAAGCTGGTATTAAAAACATGCTGGAGTTCCTCGTTGACAATATCTATGTAGTGTAGCTCTTCCATCAATCTGTGAGAATTTTGATGAGCGCTAATTGTCTCCTTTATTACTTGCCGACCTGTTTTTTTTATATTTTTAGGAAGCAAAATTTATTCAAATACTTCTAAATGAGAAGAACGAAACTCTAACCGCTGCTTTCAGTTTAACATTTTGATATATGGACGACATTTTATCAATTAACAATAGTTATTTTTATTCATATGTTCAACTCGATATATTCCTGTGAACTCATATTGAAGGACACCACATAGTCTGCCACATCTGCTTCATACTTGAATATCTTACTGACTTTAGACTTTAAGTGTTGACTAACAACTAAAAGATATTATAAACGGTATGAATTCAGCTTTTCGATAATTAACTTTCCCTACCTATGTAGTAATATTTCATAATCACTTGTATAAAGTGTTGATGTCTCACAATGATTCGATACTCAACAACATTTTCTGAGTACGATCAATTTTAAAACAGACAGTCTACTGAAAATAAGTTGACATTACAACTTTTTAAGTATTACCCACTTGCAAAGATCTACTAATAATTGTACATAATTTGATACAATAGAAGTTAGTTGTATATATATTGTAGGAGAAATAGAGGATAACATTTTGTTATCTGGAATTATTTGGTATCATTTTCGAATTATCATTAAGTACTTGGATCGATAAAAGACATAAATAAGAAGATGTAACTATAATGGAGGAAAAATAAATTCACTTTGAAATCTTTATATTTTCTAATTGTATTTTACAGTTTGCTTGGAACAGGGATGATAATAATTCCCATTGTGTGTTTTTCTCTCCGTTATTTTCTCTGTCCGCAAATTGTGAACAACCTTCAAGTATCTTTAGGGACAAGGAAGAAATATAAGATTGCATTTTCTTTTGCATAGTACATTCCCTTAGCCTAGTAATACAAGGGGTTGCTTAATACAGTTCAAAGGTTTAATATTTGGATTAAAGACCACCATTTACATCCTAAAGAGTGCTTGCTGGCAACATATACTCTCTGAGGGCTCTTTATGGAATCACCAACTTTATGCTAAAGGTTACATTTAATTCTTGTGATTTTTATTATTTTGTTAAAAAAAGTATTATACTTACTTATCACAGTGGCCTTTAGCGGCATTGTAGACAGTGTTAAGGGCTGGTGGATCTGGGCAATAATGGATCACGCCCGTTCCTCCGGTACATATGACGTACGAACGACACCCTATTTCATAATGACCATCTGCGTTATTAATACAAACACTCTCATCGCCACAAACTGAAATTAATATATATCAAGGTGTAATTGCATGAAGATTTATTGTACATATTATTTCCCCAGCGACATCGTGTTCTAATGACTATATTTTACCTGTTGTACAGAATAAAACTAAAAACACCAATGGCAAATAATTTTCCATGAGTGACAGTGGTCTGTACTTTAAATAAATGGATGTCTGAACTTTTCGAGCTTTATAAATTTTCTTATCTTTTTCGAGTTAGGTACCATTCGAACTTTTATTTCCTTATCTCTTTCTACTGAAGACCAGTCTAAATAATGTATGAAGTTAGTATCTCTCATTGAAAATTTTATTGTAGACAATTACTAGTATATAAATTTCCTCTTTTTTTTGGAAAATGCATACTATTATTTATCTTTTATTTTTAGTTTTTGGCACTTTGATCTAAAATATGACAAGATTTGAGTGAAAAAAGGCCACTCTGACTGAAAGAGACCCTAAAGGATCAAGTTTGATGATATGACTTTGACCAAGAATCCTTCATAAGAACATTAACAGTTTCTTTATTTCTTGCACATAATTATTCAGAAATACTTAGGTCCATAACGAATGTAGAAATAAGAAAGAAAAGAGAACAATCTAATCAGTCCTATAGAAATACAGTAGAAGTATACAAAAGAAGAAACAGACACCTTAGGCACAATAAGAAAGCATTCTTATTGACGTCAATGACATCTTTGATCAAAGATTTCAAGATCTTGAATCTTGAGAATGAGATAAACATTCTGAATCAAACAAAAACAACAGTAGTACTCTAATAAGTGAAAGAAAGTACTCCTGATATTACTTCTTGTTGAATTTCTCATTGTAAATTGAACGTTAGATTATAATTACTTTTTTTTTGCATATGACAGAAATTTTCTTTTAAATATAATATATTATATAAAATTTGCAATATAAAATGCACATCCATGTAAAGCTGGAAATTATTGGTCTATTTATAGCTCTGAGGTAACTAAGGGTTTTAAAACCGTGGAAAAAGATATAATTTAAACATTTTTTGAATTTCATGTCTTTAGTGCCTTATATGTCTTTGAGGCAGGATGCCAATAATTTACATACAATTGTAACTGTGTTGTTTTATTTGTAATATTAAATTTGGCATGCGACACCTGAATAAATAGTTACTTACTTATAAACTTATAAATGCACGTACCTCAGAAATCGATTCAGATTCAAATACATGTGATCCCTGACAAAAATTTTCTATAGTTAACTATAGATTCCTATAGTTAACTAGAGTAAATATATGAACTTTGATATCCATGTTAAAATAGTTAAAATACTTTGATTTATAATAGTAAAAACTTTGACACTATTGTAAACTATAGTTCTTTTTTTTATGTTATGTCAGATTTCCTTTTTTTTTCAGAAGAAATTCAGGCTATATATGTGTTTCTTATATAATATCTGTTTGAAAGAATGAAACCAAACACACTAATGACAAATAATTTTTCTAGGAGTTTAACATTGAACTGTTAGAATCTTGGAATAATTGATGTAAAAACTTTTCTCGATTTTTTAATGTTTTCGTATAACCTTTCACCTTTTTATCCTTATCTCTTTCTATATATACGAGTTACCGTGTACATATTATAAATTTAGAGACTATAATTTCATTCTTATTATCCCAAATTCATCATTTTCTTTTAATTGTTCTTTCATATGAATGCATACATTAAAAACACTACTGTGGAATCATTAAAATTCGTGGGGACCAATTTTCGTGGATTGCCTAAATTTTACAGGTTCGAGGGGATGTAATTTCGTGTATCCACTCATATCTACAAAAGAAAAGATTACTCTAAACCCCGATTATTAATTTGTTGGGGATGTGAATTGGTGGATGCAGGGTATCCACGAATATGTAGCCACCACGAAATCTAATGATTCCACAGTATATGATTCGGCAGAGTTAAAAGTCTTGAAAACTACTTTGCTCTGATCTCACAAAAATCCTCTTGCAATGTGATATAAACAGCGTAATTGCTGTTGCTTCAAATTGCAAATTTCTTCTTATAACACCTCTATTTCGCTTTTATGATCATTGTTTTGATTCGAACAAATCGCATTACATTGATAACAATAAATAATTCAAAAGAAAAAAAACAGACAATTTTGATTACCTAAAATGTGTCTTGTTTCTTAGAATCATCCAAGATAGGCATATTTCGGCGATAAAAGAATAAAAAAATAATTAAATGTAATCAGGAAAAATGAAAAAAAATAAAACACTGATGGGAAAAAACTGCTAAGATGTAATTGGCCCATTTCATAAATCATGAATCGTTATCGTTGCAAATATCTTTTCTAAAAAATCTCTTTTTCATAGTTATTTTAGCTCACCTGAGCTGAAAGCTCAAGTGAGCTTTTCTGATTACATTTTGTCTGTAGTCCGTATGTCTGTAAACTTTTCACATTTTCGACTTCTTCTCCAGACCACTGGGCCAATTTCAACCAAACTTGCCACAAAGCATCCTTGGGTGAAGGGAATTCAAGTTTGTTCAAATGAAGGGCCACGCCTTCTTTCAAGGGGAGATAATTAAGAATTAATGAAAAATTAATAGCATCATTTAAAAATCTTCTTAAGAACCACAGGGCCAGGAAAGATGAAACTCATGTACGTGGAACATCCTCAGGTAGTGTAGATTTAAGTTTTTTAAATCATGACCCCGGGGGGTAGGGTGGGACCACAATGGACGATCAAAGTTTTACATAGAAATATATAGAAAAACCTTTAAAAATCTTTTTCTCAGGAACAGCAAAGTTCTGATTGGACATATTTATGTGGAAGCATCCTCAGGTAGTGTAGATTGTATTTTGTTCAAATCATGACCCTCGAGGGTAGAGTGGGGCAACAATGGAGGAAGTCTTAAATAGAAATATATAGTAAAATGTCTTCTTCTAAAGAACTGCAAAGCCATGATTAGTCATTTTGATATGGAAGCATCCTCAGGTAGTGTTGATTCAAGTTCGTTAAAATGATGACCCCCAGGGATAGGGTCGGGCCACAATGGGGGATCGAAAATTTTACATAGGGACATATAGGAAAATATCTTCTTCTCAAGAACAGAAAATCATGTTTTGTCATTTTGATATGGAAGCATCCTCAGGTAGTGTAGATTCAATTTTGTTCAAATGATGACCCCCGGGGGTAGGGTGGGCGCAAAGGGGGATCGAAAGTTTTACATAAGAACATAAAGAAAAAAAATTCTTCTCAAGAACAGAAAAGCTATGTTTAGTCATATTGATATGGAAGCATCCTCAGGTAGTGTAGTTTCAAGTTTGTTCAAATGATGACCCCTGGAATAGGGAGGAGCCACAATGGGGGATCAAATTTTTACAAAGGAATATATAGGAAATTTTTTTAAAAATCTTCAACAAAGCCATTTGTTGTATTGACATGGAAGCATCATCAGGTAGGTTAAAATTCAAGCCCCCCCCCCCCGTAATCTTTTCAATACTGAACTGATTGGTGCTTTTGTCTAACTAGTGTGCTCAGGGTGAGCGATGTGGCCCATGGGCCTCTTGTTATCATTTACTGTCAGCCTTGTATTAAAGAGATTCATGCGTGCTGCACGGACGTACCAAATTGCTAGAACAATTACACACCTACAGTGTCTCGTCAAACACTTGACCTATCAATATTAGTAATGAAATTTGGGGGGGGGGGAAGGATATTATTACAATTGGAGTAATAAGAAGCTGTTGTAAAAATGATAAATGCATTCTGTATCTATCGAATTACTATTTATAATTAAATTCACTTATACATAAGGTCTAAAAGGACAGAATTCATATTCTATGTGCATAAAACTTTTTTTTGTAGATGTCTATTTACTTGAGCACAACAACATACTTTCAGAAAGCTAAATAACGCATCAGTACTGCAATTATAGCTGTGTCCAACGTGGCACGTATAATATGACGTACAGTTGCTGAAAATGTCTGGGTACCGTTTGTCTGGGAGAAGGGAACAGTCCTGCCAATGTCCGCAATGACGGCCAACATAATCAGGGCTAACAAACTAGTAAATAATGAAGAGTTAAAGTAAAGATTTAGCCGTTTTTTTAGTTCTTGATACATGATGACGTTATCAGTAATTTAAATTTACTTTTTCCTGTATACTTAACGGCTTTTAATGAACTACAATGTTTGTAAACTCCATGGCATTGAATTTAAAATCATGTAAAAAGAAATCTGAATACTCATCTTCAATTTAAATCAATGTATTAGTTTTAAAAAGAGCCAAAAATATAAATAAAAATTACCCGTTCTTTTTTCTAACGTTGTCTTAAATTGGAAGAAATCTCTCATTTTTGTTATTGGCTTTCTTTATTTTTCACTGAAACTGACGTTTAAAAACACATATTTTATTGTGTTTATATAAAAATTATGCCGAACACTTTTTTTCTCTAAGCTACAGTTATTAAGCATCACTTAAGGAATTAATTTCTCAAATTTAGAAACCTGTAGGCTCATTTCATATATAAGTTCTTAACCTTTTTAAAAAGATTTTATTTTTACAACAATGCCACATTGGATGCCCGATTACATGTAACCAGGACTGAGTTTGTGATTTGTTACTTTTAACTGCGGGAGAGAGTTTCATTTGGAAGGTATACTTCGAAATGAAGGTTAAAAATCTACTTGTTTTTATGCCTTTGGAGAAAACTTTATGTAGATGTTAGACTGATAAGTTTCCTCCTTCAAAAATATATATTGCAGACTTTTTTATATTGAAAATATGAAACCATCCACTATAGATCTAATCCCTTTTCAATTTCTAACATCTCTCATTGAAGGAGTAAATAGGATTGTTCACTCTGATAATATATCTGAAATCGTAATTTTTTTTGGTGATCTTTTATTCGATAGCATAAACACATTAAAAAAATATTAATAAAAAATAATATAATTTAACATAAGATAGATTTTAAACAAAATGTGCAATTGTGTTTGACATTGCTTTCGTGAATTTATTGCTCTACAGGCGACACAAAAATTAACTGATCTAGATGTCTGTAAGAGAAGTTACTCGTCTAAAGAAATTAAAGGGATGAGGGTTTCCTAGCCTTTTGCAATTGCTAGTAAATGTACATTTTGAGCATATTTGAACG